TGCAATCACAGTAAACAATGAAAAGTAGTTCATGAGAGAACTTCCAAAGTTGAACTTGAAATACGTTTGATTCTCTGACAGCGATGCAAAGTGGGGTGGGGGCTGTGATAAGGGTAACACACGTAAGCGTACATTTTTAATATCTAACATATTAAGGGAAAAGTCCCAAAATTCTTTATTAACTGTCTATTTTTTCTGTAGAACTATTTATTTCAGTAAGTCTTTGATCTGCAACGCTGCATATAGACAACTCTGTGCTATTGATGCCGCTGTTATGCTTATTTTCTTTCTTCAATAAATTTGTTAAGTTTAATTTTTAAGTTAATCATTGTCTCTTTTTTCATTCTTAGTTTTCATTTCAATAATTCTAACCGTAGCATGTAAATGAAGAACTTAGAAATAATTTTGTTTTGTTTTTAAATTGAATTGTGTTTTATGTTCTGAAATATTATTGTTTTGTTTTTAAATTGAATTGTGTTTTATGTTTTCAAATATTATAGACTGGGGCTGGAGCCAGAACCAATTAACCAGTAGTTTATAACCTGGATTGTCAGTACTGAATAATTGCTGACAGAAACAATGAGAGGAAGTGTATAATCATTTCAGAAGATAACAGAGTTGATTGCCGATATCTGAGGAAAAAGGACAATGAAGATGCTTATCATAACAAGTAAAAAAAAAAAGGAAACTAAAGCTATTATTCGTAAACAGTTTCTAATAATATTAAAGTCAATATCTCCAACACCAATGGCAAAATGGCAATTGTGGAGCTACTTGTGTCACCAACTAGAACTTCTGTCGGTGTAATCTCTTTATACCAGGAAAATCATTCTCTTTCTTTACAGATGTGAGATGTTGCTACAGTATCTACTAAAAATTCTCCTATGAATTGATTAGTAGTAGACGATTCCACACACATGGATTCCAGTTTTTCATTCAGGCTTGAATAGTCTTTTTCACATAAAAAAGCTTTCTTTCGACGTTGCACATTCACTTTCTTGTAGCATTTATCCTCAGTGTGACCCAATTTTTCACAGAACTTGCATACTACTGAATGACGAGGATTTGTTACTTCGAATTTCTTGTTAGGGTCCAGACTGCTTCCACTGAAGTTTTTCTCGAATTTCTTGTTAGGGTCCAGACTGCTTCCACTGAAGTTTTTCTTATTCTCTGCTTGTCTTTTATTATCACCCATTCGAATTTTAGTTGAATGAGCATCATTCACAAACGTAGATGAATATGTAGATAAACGTAGAAACACCCATGTAGATTGTCGTGTAGGCTCGTTGTTTTCGTAGAAGATAAGCCAATTTGTCTCTTTCAGCTGCTGTATCATCAAGTGGTATTTCTTTTCCAGTTATAAAGTCCCAGCATCCTTTTTCCATCAACAAAACTTTCATGTCAATTTTCCAGCTTCCATAATTAAAATCTCCGAGCTTTGGAAAGGCAAAAACTGTTCCATCAGTAGACTCAGCCATATTGAAAATTGAAGACTTATTTCCACTTTTCACTCCTTATTAGTCTATTTATTCCATGTTCCAGACTAAAGGTTTGCGGGTTCGAAGGCCCATAACCAACTATTGATGCGTTANTCTCTTGCCAAAATGTCTCCGACACCAGTGGCAATTGTTGAACTATTTGTGTCACCAACTGGAACTTCTGTCGGTGTAATCTCTTTATACCAGGAAAACCATCCTCTTTCTTTACAGAAGTGAGATGTTGCTGCAGTATCTACTAGAAATTCTCCTATGAATTGACTAGTATTAGACGATTCCACACACATAGATTCAAAATTTTCATTCAGGCTTGAATAGTCTTTTTCACATAAAAAAGCTTTCTTTCGACGTTGCACATTCACTTTCTTGTAGCATTTATCCTCAGTGTGACCCAATTTTTCACAGAACTTGCATACTACAGAACGACGAGGATTTGTTACTTCGAATTTCTTGTCAGGGTCCAGACTGCTTCCACTGAAGTTTTTCTTATTCTCTGCTTGTCTTTTATAATCTCCCTTTCGAACTTTAGTTGAATAAGCATCATTCACAAACGTAATTTTATTTTCGTCTTTTTGTTTCAATTCAATCCTTCCAGATTCCGTAATTAGTTGCTTAGTAATTGAATCGATCGTAAATTCTTCATCTTTTACTTTGTAAAGAATCTGTACCAAATTATCATATTCAGAAGGCAGATATCTTATCAGCTGAAAACACACTAATATTGGAGGCAATTTAAATCCAGCATCCTCAATTTGTTTATTCTTCTCCAACATTCTTTTGCTATATATTCCGATCGTTTCTTCGTCGGGTGAAAATCTTGTGCTAAAGAAATCATCGACTAAACCAGCCAGACGAGCTCTCGACGTAGGTTCAAAGTTTACTTTCAGCGTTTCCCAAGCTGTCTTCCCGTCTTCGGTATCAGCAATCAGGGATTGGTATTTTCGCTCGATTCCCATGTAAATTGTCGTATAGGCTCGTTGTTTTCGTAGAAGATAGGCCAATTTGTCTCTCTCAGCTGCTGTATCATCAAGTGGTATTTCTTTTCCAGTTATAAAGTCCCAACATCCTTTTTCCATTAGCAAAACTTTCATATCAATTTTCCAGCTTCCATAATTAAAATCTCCGAGCTTTGGAAAGGCAAAAACTGTTC